TTTATTTTTTTAGTACGGATGACACTACTCGCCGTACGTACTCTCGTTCGTGGAACCTAATGACTATAGAAGAAGTCCAGGAGAAGTACAAATTCATCGACTGGAAAACATATCTAAATCAGGTACAGTCCAGCTGACATGTAAACTCACAACCCTCCCATGCGCGCTATTCTTTTTCTGGGAGCAAGGCTTTGAGCTCTCGCTTCTTTTCTCTCAACTTTTCAAAGATTTCTTTCACAAGAATGCTGGCTCGTGAACAAAATTTTCGCCGCAAACGCCGCCTCCTACGTATAATGTGCTGAGCCGGTTAGCCGATATCGGCAATGACTGGGAGGCTGAAAGCTTTAGCAATGATTTTGACTTGTTTTTGTTTGTTAACTGCTGTTTTTGGCCGCAGTTCGCCTTGCGAATGTTTCACAAGAATGCTGGGTTGTGAACAAAACTTCCAAAGCATCTCCGACTAGAAACATTCACTACTTTAACGCAGTGGATAGGACGTCTTGGTTGTTCTATAGGGGTAGGTATGTATACCTGTGTACCACATAGATACAAAACGATCGGGTTTTTTAAAGCTTCTTCCACAATTTATTCACACGTTCATTCGACTGAAGAAATGTACGTCATCAGTGTCTGTGACAGTGGTCCGTCAGCTAATCAGCCATTCCTCCTTCTAGGGGAAAGGGGGTTTGTATTCGAGAAAACTTGAGGAGACATGGGGTTATTATAATCAGCATTAAAGGTTTTCTCTGTGTGAGGTGCTCAAAGCGGATCACCAGGAGGCACTAAGAAGGAATGAGCTAAAGGGAGTAGAATGAATTCCATCAATGGCAACCCAAGCCAAGCTCTTGCAGCTTGAACTGTGCGAAATGCCTACGGGCTCGGTCGTGCTTCTTTGAGTAGTGGCAGGGCTACGGACTGGGTGCCGTGAATGATAGCGGCGAATGTTTGGTCTCGCACGCATTCTCTTCGAAATTTAAATGTAGTACAGCAGAACGCATCTCTTTTACAGTTCCATATGCATGGGAAGATGCTCCCCTCATGGTCGTCAAAGGGGATCCATTTGTCGCAACCGGTCATGAGATTCTCTGAAATTTCGCTTAGAGGTGAAGAGAAAAGGACCTGAGACAAATGTATGGCGGAAGTCTTCGATCAGATGCCATCGAATCAACCGAGCGAGAACTTCGTTGAACCCATGTTTTGAGGATTTTCAAAGATTGTAGAAGGCTTCAATCAAGGCTCTGTTCCCTTGCCTGGTAACCCTGGATCTTTCAATTTAGCAAGAAAGCAGTCGTCATCGATGACAGGGGGCTGTCCAGAACAAGGGGGAGGATTGAAGCGAGCCAGCCACAACTGAAGATCGCATAGCCGAAATTTTCCTTTGCGAATGCTGCCAGCGCTGATGGCAGTGTAGCGGGCATTGGAGCCATGGTAGTGCTCGTTGAGAATGGAGACTTAGATAATGATGGTATGCTGGCTGGCCTTTCGTGTATTTGGTTTCGGGAATATAATAATAATAAATAAATAATAGATATAATAGTAATAGAATAATTAGGGTTCAAATATAACGAATATTGAAATAATTTTACAAAATTCGAAATACATGGTGAGCCAAATATATGGTAATCAAGACGTTATATCACTAAAAATGAATATTAGTCTGATGAAATGAATCGCCACCAAAAATGTGTTGGTCACTGGTATCACATTTTAAAGCCAGATTAGGTTTGAAATCTGTAGACATTGCAATTCAGATGAAGAGGGAAAACGTGCACACTGGCGCGCAGGTGAAACGCGTCAAAATGACTCCCAAGGTTTTTTGTTGTGCCCAGGAGGTTTTCACACCGTTTGGGTTCTCGTTTCCTCTTGTCTCCAACCTTACCTGCAGGAAATCCGGCTCAATTCTATGGGGGACTTTTAGCTATCACATGTTCGAAAACAATGAATTCAAAAATTACTTTCCATAGGATTTTTATTTTCTGACTAGGAGTCCTGTCGTTCGGAGAACTGATCTTGGGTAGCTTCTTGTACATGACGGACATTGTGTCTTGAGAGTGTTCAAATGGTCTTCTATTAGGTCGTCCTGAAAGGTTTTGTCCATTTCCACGTGTATGTTGTGAAATGTCCAGGGATAATTTTGAACATCCACTGTAAAACGTATGTAACCCTAGTCAATGATCTCTTCAGAGCATTTCTGCCGTGGTATTTCGCAGCGATTATGGCTGAGAAAATCGACTTTGACTGAAAGCATATTTGGCTACTCTTGATTCTGAAAACCCAGAAAACGCGTCAGTGGAAGCGATGCGGCAAGAGCCCTACGTCTTGCAGATGGAGCTCCAGAGTGCCTTTCACGACATGGCAAACATTTGTTTGCCGATGTCAAGAAACTAGAAAGGCTCAATAAAGATCCTGGTCTTCGTTAGTAACACTGAGTGGCGAGTCTTCTGGAGATGTTTGGAAACAGTATCTGGTGCAATGCACGGTAACTGGCACAGCTTTCCACAGTCATCAGAAGACAATAGACATTTCTCAATAGCTCCTCAAAAGATGAGAAATTATGGAACAAACCATTCAGCTCCCGCACACTACCGCGTGCATGACACGGAAGGGCTCCGTAAAGCTGGCCAGCCGGAGGAGCGTTAGGTTCTGCCGCTAAACAATAACTTTCTTCGTGAAATGCGTTAGCTGGCCTTCTACAGAATGCCCATTTTTAACCAACCGTCTGATACGCGCGGTGGAGTGCGGAGCTAAAGTGGTGTCTGTAAACAGCACCATGCATTGGATATCAGGATGATTTACGATGTATTGGCAATGATGTTGAATAGAAATGCCCTTATCGTATATGTCTAAACATTATCATACATTCTTAGGGATTTTGGGAATATAGCGGTCGAACGGTATTTTATGTTGATGACAACAACGCAATGAGATGATTCTGAAGTGAAATGCGTTATCTAGAACCACGGTTTTAAGCGATCCATATGTTCCCACGTGATTATCGGCCCTTATCACCTCCTGTACATGTTCCCGTCCCACCTGTACATCACTTCTTGGAACCAACGCCCCACTGCTGCTGGGACGCGCGCTATGAATTTCGTGAAATTTGCGTTTCAGCGCCTCTTATCAGCTCTTATCAGTCGTTATCACTTTCTGACCCCCACCAAATATGTTCCCGTCCCACCCTGTACATCACTTCTTGGAACCAACGCCCCACTGCTGCTGGGACGCGCGCTATGAATTTCGTGAAATTTGCGTTTCAGCGCCTCTTATCAGCTCTTATCAGTCGTTATCACTTTCTGACCCCCACCAAATATGTTCCCGTCCCACCCTGTACATCACTTCTTGGAACCAACGCCCACCACTGCTGGGACGCGCGCTATGAATTTCGTGAAATTTGCGTTTTGGCGCCTCTTATCAGATCTTATCAGTCGTATCACTTTCTAAACCCCACCAAATATGTTCCGTCCCACCCCCTACACCATACTCAAAATACAGCGTTCCATGCCTGCAGCGAAGCGCGCTATGAATTTCGTGACAGACGGACGTACGTACAGACAGACACACACACACACACAGACAGACATACTTAGCGAATTATATATAGTAGGATGGGATTTCGTGATCTGGTGACAACCGCCTCAGAAGCCTTCAGATTTTGCATGAACATTTTGATTTACCGGCTGTATCTTGTTTGACCCGACTACTTTGTTGGTGGTAGCAAGGAGTGGGTTCCTCAAGTAAACCACACCCGCGAGCGCCACTGGCTCAGACGCGTAGAACCAGAGATTCCGACGTCCATTCCAGCACTGCAACTTGAGAGGCAACTTTCAGAGTTGGTAAAGCTGCAAGCGATCCGTTTGCCGACAGCTCCTACCAACGAACTTCACTGCTGTTGTAGTTCGATAATGTGGGCAAGCGGATGGGATCTCCCACTATGCGTAGAAAACATTACAAAGATCACTTCATCCGAGCAGCGATCGTCAAGGAATTTTGAAGAAGGTCCAGCAAAAGTCTCCAAGCCCCTCATGGGATGTTCTGTCCCGCCATTTGTGTTCAGCAGATCCGGCCCCAACAGAATACCGTCTGCTTCTGTTGCTGCTGATTCAACTAAAAGAGGGAGAGCTTTATGTTCCGGACTACTCGAAAACGGACTTCCTCCAGTTTTTTGCCTTGAAAGCTCAGGACTTCTAGGCAAACGGCATCCACAAGTCACCTGCTGAAAGGCAATATGTTGACGATTACGATGGGGCATATGATTGTAAATTGCTGACTGGGCTAAAGAAGAAAAGTGGATTTGAAAAAAAATCGGCAAATGGGCAAAGACTTTCAGGACAACTAATATATCATATCATTTATCAATTAGCCGTACGAAAGTCGCAAGCAGAGAAACGAGTTTTGGCATCCGATACTTGTCTTGGTGATAACTACTATTACCTTAGAATGAGCTCCTTTTCCACTGTGATGGTTCCCAACTTATTGAAGCGTTAATCCGTTACCCGTGAGAGCTTCTTTGTTACCTTGGTCTGTCGTTAGATGTAGCGTGCCAAAGCCCCTTGTCGGTTCAATTTGATGGATTAGCGTACCGCTATGGGGTGCGCTGCAGGTCAGCTAACTTTGAGACACCGTTCATTTGCTCGAAGCAAGCTTACGAATAAGTCTAGGCCCGATAGGCTTAAGCATAAGCCAATGTGTAGCATAAACACAAATCTGGGCCTGAACCCGAGCTTAACCTTAGGCTTCAATGATCGCGCGGTGGCCTGACCCCAGGGGGAGAACTGCAGGTTTCCCCCGCTATGTGATTGCTTCGCTCATTCTGGGAATGCTACGATATTTAGTGAAAAATTGATTTGACGTTACCATGGTTTTGGCCAACACTCCGACGGTCTCACTGTCATCTTCTCCGGAATTCAGAAATTCCTGCTTCTTGATTTCAGTCCTAAAAGAGCGTGTTCAAATCAAAGAAATCAAACATTTCGAATGATATTCCTTCACTCATCGTTCAGGTTCCGGAAATAGCTAGAGCAGTCGTGAACAAGGATGGTTATCAAGTTTCCATCTATGAGGTAAGGTTTAATTTCCCTTGTTCTATCCCTAACAATTGCAGTGAAATCTCGGAACATAAAAAGAGCCATTTAAGCCCGATCAATACAAGAAGTTTAATAGTGACTACAACACCACGTTGGACAGAACGAAGCTCGTCAACTACCTGTTCATGCGCCTTCTTCTGCAGAATGCTCAATATCTTCCGACGTATGCGGACACCCTGACTGAAATGCCGGTGGGCCGACGATTTCCTCACCGTACGAGGCATTTATTCACTCTGATTGTTATGAAAACAATCAAAATAAAAAATGTGGGAAGGAAAATCCCTTAGATTTTGAGCCTACGGTAAGGGCGACCAACTGGTGCAGTGCTACTGTTAAGCGCACAGCATACGTGCGGGATCCGTTCCCAGACTATGCATGCGCTATGCTCTGCCAAATCCTTTGAT